GCTGTTTAAATTTTTTTATTTTTTTTTTTATTTGAATGATTCAATTCAATTTTAGTAAACTGGCAATTCTGACTTTTTTCTTAGAATTGTGAGATAAAAACTCACAATTGCGAGTAATAAAGTCCAGTTCTGAGGGGGGAAAAAATACATTTTCTGGCATTATCTCTGAATTATAATAATAACTGACAATTCTGGCTTTATAGCTTGCAATTGTGACTTTACATTCCACAATTCTGACTTTTATAACTCGCAATTGTGAGATTTTATCTTTTTTATCTTTATTAAATTGCGGCAGAAAAAAACTCGGTTACCTTTTTTTTTTAATTTTCATACAGTGGCGGAAACGGGCATCCATAGAAATCAGTACAAACACCGTGTGATTGTGCCATGTTTTGCTAGACTGAGATTTCAGTTTGCACTGATTATCTAGATCTACTGATTTGTTGTTAGACTGAAAGTTTTGGGTCTTTGCAGATGAAGGATGCCGGTGAAGGAATTCAGAGCACAGGAGAAGAACCTAAAGCTGTGAGAAAGAGACGAGTACGGAAGGACTGAAAATCCACATTTTCCCCATGTTTCTTCCTCCCTTCTCTCGTTCCTTTGCCTCTTTTTGCTGCATGCTTTCGGCAATATGTCATTCAGCATGCAAAAACCGGCAAACCTAGCCGCTCTCCTGAAGAGGTCATTCTTCATCCGACTGAACCTCGCCTCCCCTCTTTCAGTCTTCCGCTTAGTTCTTATCGGGTACAGTTGGGATTTAGATACAAAAGTCAGACCTGCTGAGTTTTAGCTCCAAGTTTTGCCTATTTCTTTTTCTTTATAGATTACAATTCATGTAGTACTGGGCCAGTGTTTCCCTACTAGTAAGTCTGAATACTGTGAAGGGAAATGTACAGTGGATATTTTAGAAAGACAAACTAGTTTATGATCACCTCAACGTTTCTGTTTAAGTTTAAAAAAAAAAAAGGGTTCAGTTCCTTGTGAGTTTTTAAGTTATGAGCTTTTTAACATGATCAAATCGCTCTGATCATATTTATTGTTTGTATCTTGTTTGAAAAATGATGCAACTGAGTTTAGATATAGGACTTTTTAATCTTGCATTCTACTGTCATTACCAGTTAGCAGGCTCTGGAGAAGAGCTCCCGTCAAACCAGGAGCCACCTTCACCAAACATCTAGGTCAGTGAAGTGCTAGGAATGCAAATCGGTATTGCTTTTTTGGCATGGAAGAAAGTCGTTACGCACAGTCAGAGCCAATCTCAGCTCAGCTCATACCACCATGTATGAAACCATTGAGCTTTGGAAGCAGACAGGTTGTTTTTCAAGTGATGAACAGTTTTGTTTTTCTGCTTTTTTTTTAGGTTGTGTTCAGCCTTACAAGGACAGCCTTTTGTTTACATGTTTGCAAACTGTTCATTGCTCTTGGAAATAAATATTTACTATAAATTTGTGCACCTTTGACATGACTTCACCAGGAACACTCGTTTGTGCAAAGGCAAAGTATTTTATTAAAGGCATAATTGTAACAAAATAAAATGTACACTTTCAGAACAGGCGGTACTTTACATCGGGTGCTTGCAAACATAAATTACACATGAAATTTTTCACAAAAATAATATTAAACAGACTGAGTATGTAGTGTTGTGGCAGATGCTTCAGTGTCATGTCAATAATTCATAGCAAGTGAAATTTCACATCAGCAATCTCTGAGCAAAGAGCAGAGCATCTGTCCTCATAAATGCCGCTTAAGCAGACACTTTGGAGCAATCAGATCAATATCACTCAGTAGACTCAACCTCACTTCAGTCTTTGAAAGCAGTAAAAGCTAAAATCCATTTATTTCATCCATTTTAAGTCCCTCAATCCAAAGGACATGACCACGAAGAGCAAACTCCAACACAATGCTGCAGTTTACACTGCGAGCCAGTTTCAACCAATTGATCCTGCTCAAAAGACGTCGGGTTTGTGCGCTAGTCATACCTTTTAAGATAAATCCAAGTATGAAAGCGAGTAAATGTCATTTGGTTTAGTCAAAGGCCTCTTATAATGTAACATATGAAGAGGTACTTTGTTTAAACCAGTGGGTCAGGAAATTACAGAAATTGCATACTTTCTGCACCAGTTGAGCAACTGGCATTAAGATAATTGCCAGTAACCTTGGTTTAAATTAGAAAAATCACATGCCAAGTGAGGGAGGACTAATTTAGGTTATCCATCCTTAGCCTTTTACATCATGCACTTTAGTTATGGGATGTCATGCACTTTCAAGAGAACATATCTGTGTTCAATCTTGCTGCACATTGTAAATGTTAGTAGTGGAAAGCCAAAAAAGCTGAAATTCAGCATAATTGTATTTTTAAAAGAACCTGACTTCAGCTGTCTAGTATTTAAAAAGGTTGTGAAGTCAATGAGAGGGTCTGAGATTGATTATGTACCTGCTAAATGAATTAAACAGGAGTGGTATCACACCAGCTCTGTACTTATCTGATCACAAACTGCATCAGGCATCCTGTTATATCTTGTAACACAGTTAGCTGACAGGGAAAGGCAGCAGCTCAGTCCATTCAAGTATTACCCATACCATGCTGAGAGATGCATCAGTAAATTGTACGACAAAATAAATACAAAACAAACAGCAGCTTATATGTATGAGCTAGTAGTTTGAATGCCGGAAAGAGGAGATGATGGATGAAGCAGACGTGACCCACACGTTATTTCCGTTTGCTTTTGGTGTCGGTGGTCTGAAACACGCTGGAGGCAGACATGAGGTTCTCGATGTACTGCCCGAGAACCTGGTTCTCCGATTTGAGCTTAAGGTTCTCCTCTTTCACCGCGTCCACACGCGCAGAGAGATCTAATGGAAACAGACAAAACACATTAGAGTGCATCACTTAGCTTTTTCCGGCAGCCATTTAGAGAGCCTGAGTGGATCAGAGTAGAATGATTAGAGGAAAAACAGAAACATGAGGGGTGTATTTTCAGTTACAAAACAGCAACAGTTAACCACTAAGACAATAGTTCTATATTAAACTGTACACTCAAAGACTTGAACCTTCAAGTGTGTGCTGTAGCTCCAACACTTGGTTTATGAGTCTCATCTTCTCCTCTTGCTCAACTTGATTCTCCATATCTCCTGAAAACACACATACACATCTGAAATTGCTCCAAAGCAACTTAAACTGAAGAAACACGCATTTTAACAACATGATATAACATGTTATACCAAACTGTGGGTGATATTTACCATCAATCTCACAGTTCATGGTGGTATACTGGTCTTCTGGTCTGAAGCTCAGGACTGTCGGTTCTCCGTCAGCTGTGAGAGATAGGCTATTATCAGTGTGATATAAAATATGCTTATAATACAAACAAGTAGTTGTGTTTTTGACATGTACAAAAGTAATTTCAAGGCATTCGTTGAAGTACCACACAAATAGCCTACAGTGTAAACTACGCCGTTTCAAGGTCCAGGCGCATCAAGATACGGTTACGTTAGCTATTGGCTAACACAACAAACCATCGCCTGACATAAAGAAATACAGTTCACAGAAAGATAAGATCACTGTCATTTACATTACATGCCTAAAACGTAACTATATTGCTATTAGTACTCGAGACATTACATTTTAACTTAGTTTTATTAAGTTTTAATTCATGCCGCGTCCAATCATCATCAGTCTCCATTGGTTCTCAGGCATTACAGGCCGCTAAGTACAGCAGCCTGGGTGCTAAGAGACTTGTTAGAAACAGCTTTAAATGACCCCGATAACAAAACTCAGTTAAACAATCAGCACAACTAATAAACTTGGTAAAGAGGCAATTAATTTTTATAAAAAAATAAACGCCGAGAGGAAATAAACATGATCCCATGTGATAATGAAGAACTTAAGTAACAAACACACACCAGCACACTGATACAGTCACACAGTCCTACCTGATATAAGACTAAATCGATCCGCGTTATTAAAGATGTTCAAAATTATTAAGTCTACAAAGCTGATGTCAAGGTAATGACACAGACCATCCGTTACCTCATCACTTCTCTTTCTCTCTCGCATTGCACTCACTACCGAAAAGCACCGACAGAGGGAGACAAAGCTCGCTATAAATATGAAGCTGGGCACAAAGCAATAGCATGCTGGTTACTGCATATTGCCTTCTATTTTTAAAGAATAGTATATGAAAAAGAATGCAGTATGCAACATAATAAACATTTCTCCTCAGAATATTTTTTGGTTAAAAATGAATTTAAAACATCCATATGATAGTATGCTACTTTGCTGTCACATAACCTCATAGAATCATTCTAATACGGATTATAAATAATTCTGGAAAAATCTGTCCCCTAAACTAAAACGCAACAAAACCAAACAGCCAAACATTCAAATATTAGGAATCAACTACATAATGATGAAAGATTTTGATGAATTGTGTTCTTAGGACTAGGGTATTTTTCATAAATACCAAGACGAGGAAAGATATCATATGTGTTTTACGTGTTAGCAATGCATCACTTACAATACTTGTGTGCCAAAAACAAAGTTTGAATAGTTTTTATGTTACTTTGCTTCATATATGTTTTTAATATTTACATTTTGTGGTTTATAATGGCAACATGCCCCATTTAATTTGACAACATGTCCAGCTATTGGGGCATGTTGTCACAAAAGGTCAACATATGTTATATGTACTGTTTCTGCATAACAACGGTTGTAATGTTCAAATGCTTTTTTTTTCTAGTAACAAGTGTGACAACCAGTCTGTACTCACCAACATCGTTTGTGTTCCTCACAAGAACTAAAGTCATAAAGGTTTGGAAACTACATCAGGGTGAGTAAATGATGACCGATTTTTCATTTTTAGGTGAACTATCCCTTTAAAATTGACCACTCAGAGTAGACGTGAGTCATCTGAAATATGCAGCCTTTGTTCTACTTACTGACTGCTCTGGCAGTAGCTATTCACACATGCTTACTGTGTATGTGAGCTCCCTGTACACAAGCACACACCTACTGCCTCTTGTGGAGGTTTCTGACATGTGTTGACACAGTGCCTCTCCATTCATTCCTGTATTTGGACAAGAAAACCACATGCTGCACAGCACTCAAGCATTTAGATACTTGCGTTATTGCGCTAACTTATAGCCTACTGCTGAAAGAATATACTTAATGCATCATTTAAAAAATGAAAGTGAAATAATTCTGGTACTTAATGTTAGTTGTCTTTATTATGTAAACACAATAATAACAATAATAATGATGATGATGATAATAATAAAATAATAATTGGGTATATGCACTTATTGAGTTCATGTTGTATTACTTTTGCGGCTGTTGATGTGGGGTGGGGTAAGATTTGAGCAGGTTTGGTGGTACGTTAAGGTTTAATGTTTGGCTATGGTCAGCCATGCAATTATAGATGCAACTACATAAAAGTATACCTATGTTATTACATGTGTTATTATTTTTATAAATAAGTACAGAGTAAAAACATGTATGTACACAGTAAGTGCAATGTTTCAAATTATTAATATAAATGTTAGTAGTACATAGTTTTTAAAGACAATATGAAGTGGGCAGTGTTACATCAGTATCACTGAGATACTGCTTTAGTTTTTGTATCCGGAGCAGATTTTCTTTCTTTCTTTTCTTTTTCTTTTTCTTTTTCCCCCAGAAATACTGCTGATCTTATTGCATTGCACTAAAACATACTGACATTTCTCATAGAGGGTACAACTTCCCCAAGTTTTTTTTTTATTTCTTTTTTTTATAATTTTTGGGAGGGATTTTTTCCCCCCACCTTGTTACACTTGTGGTGTTCCTGATCAAAAATGACCGGCCTACAAAAAATTGCTTATGAGCTTATGCCATATTATTACCAAATATTGGATTTAATCTTTTTATTAACTTGTTTTTTTTTTTTTTTCAATTAGCACAGGTTTTGTATTATTTTTGGAGTGTATTGATCATAGGCTTTATTGATCTGAGCTTATTTACCTCAGTTTTTGAGTGAAAATTGCCTTTTTTTTTGACCACAAATACTGCTTTTTTTCCCACACAACAACTGAGCTCAGATCAGTGAGGCCTATGACCAACAATTTCAAAAAAGCAATACAAAACCTGTGCTAACTGAAAGAAAACAAGTTGACCAAAAGATCGAATCCGAGGTTTGGTGTTAATATACTCTACCATAATGAGAGTGCATAATGTGCAACTGTGTGCTTCTATTCATGTACATTTCCCAGTTCTATCACTGAACTGTTTCCCGGACAAAGAGAACTGGTTTCAGATCAGCTTCAAGACAAGACAAGGCAAGTCTTACCTGAATCATCAGCTAGTGAGATGTTAGTAAAAGTCCCATCATCTTCATCCACGTCTCCCTCCATGACTGAGAGTGTTCGCAAATGTGAGTGTAGCTTATTAGCAAAACAACAGTTAAATAAGTTAAACTATATGTCTTTGAAAAGGTTCTTTTCTCTCTCTCTCTCTCTCTCTCTCTTCCTGAAACGCTGTGTAGTTTGTCCGGCCTTACCCTCTCAATTATTCACCATCACCACGGTTACCAACCAGACCTGTGTGGTAACTCAGGTGACAAAGCTGAAGCAGACTTTAGGGCGACGCCTGCTGAGAGATCCAAAGTTCACTCGTTCACTTTCTCAGATTACAGTGAGAACCCCCCCTCCACCCACCTTCTCACCCAACTGCGCACACCTTTAACTTTCTCGCACCATCTGTCTCATTTCATCTGTGCTACAGTGTGACACATTAACTAAAGGAACTGTCTGATGGCCTCACACAAACAAAACCACATGGCAGTGCTTAACTACATGGACTTAATTGGTTTGCACTTTGATCAGTGTTGTAAAAAGCCTGAAGTATTACTACAAGCTACTGAAACGACTTGCCGTGATGCATTGATTGGCACTCTAGGTGCTTTTTCTTTTTTCATTTTAAGCTGCAGGCATAAGAAATGTTGACAGGCTAGTTTCTGACTCTAATAGAGTTAAACTCAAACACCTGCAGCAAATACTTCTTATGCAAAGGCTGCATTTTTTAATACCATAGCATGGCAATTCTTTATTTGTCTCAATTCAGTGTATCTTTATGAAATGACAACAGACATGGACTTCAAATGACAAAACTTGATTTCATGGGGTTTTAAAAAAAAATTGTTCAGCCAAAATGAACATTTGCTGAGCATTTACTCACCCGCAGGCCATTCAAGATGTAGGTGATGAGTTTGTTTCTTCATGGGAACAGATTCGGAGAGATTTAGCATTACATCACTTGCACCAGTGGATCATCTGCGGTGAATGGGTGCCGTCAGAATGAGAGTCTGATAAAAACATCAAGTAATCCGTACGACTCTGGTCCATCAATTAATGTCTTGTGAAGTGTTGCATTTGTAATAAACAAACCCATCAAGACGTTTTTAACTTCAAATCGTTGCTTTCGGCTAAAATACTGGTCCTTTATCAATGAAGTGATTTTGTCTGAATCAGAAAATAAATATGCACAAATCAAGCACCGTTTACAAGCAAAAACAGTCCAGAATAGTTCTGAACAAATATGTCAGCTGATTTTGATGTGAGAGGACAACAGAGGATGGACTTTTTCACTGGAGGAATCAATTTTGGATTACAAACCCATACTCTGAAGTAACGGTTTAAAGTTGAAACACCTTACTGATGGATTTATTTATTCGTTTATTTACAAACACACAACTTTTTTTCTTCAGAAGACGTTGACTGGTGGACTGGAGTCGTGTGGATTACTTGGGTATTATTGTAATGGTTTTATCATCTGTTTGGACTCTCGTTCCGACAGCATCCACTGCAGATGATCCATTGGTGAAAAAGTGTTGTAATGCTACATTTATCCAAATCTAAAGCAAACGCATCTATATCTTGGATGGCCTGAGGGTGAGTAGATGTTCAGCAAATTTTCATTTTTTTGGTGGAATGTTCATTTAATGAGAGAAATGGACAAGCTCTAGTGAGAATGATTATAATAGTGCTTATACAGACAAAGCAGATAAGATTAAACACCCATCCAAGACAGCACTCTGTAAATGTGCCAGCCCAGAGAATAAATTAGATTAAAGACTTAAAAACCAAACTCACATCTATCTATCTATCGATCTATCGATCCATCCATCCATCCATCCATCTATACTGTACTGTATATATATATATATATACTGTATGTATGTATGTGTGTGTGTGTGTGTGTGTGTATATATATATATATAACAATTGGGAATATTGTTATGTTTAAAGTGTGCTCATTGTACTTTTGATGGATATAACCGAGGTTAGTACCAGGATAAATCCAGATTTCGTTTTGTATATTTTCTCTAGATGGCAAATTTAGAATGCTCCTAAGAAAGGAAAACCCATAGACTAATGGATTATATAATTAAGATGAAAATTTTAGACTAAACACATGCACTAGGTGCTGTCTAAAATAGTTACAAGTTTTAACTATTTTTAAAATCTGATTAGCAAACTATAATATATATATATATATATATATATACACACACACACACACACATACATACATGTATTTAGATATAACGTATAGGGCATGGCCTTGCATGGTTAAATGTTGCAAAATATTAAATGTTATAATATTAATATTTTTGGTAAGGATCGTCTGTACAGAATCACATTGTCGTCTGTCTGTTGCCAACAAAGCTTTGATAATCGTCTGACAAATATGTGTGAAGTGCCTCCTAGTGGTTAAAGCCTGTCATAAATTACACAAGGAATTGACAGTGTTTT